TTTGTTAACACCACTACCTTTCCCCCCAGCTCCCCCTCTCCCATGTCTTCTCCAGTACCACAATTCAAATGCATCAACTCTTCTTTGATATTCCTTATTCAATGTAAACTTTCACAAGCATATGAAGCAATTGAAAATACTGTGGCTTGAGTCAGGCACATGTTGGTCTTCAAAGTAACATCCTTGTTTTTCAACACTTTAAAGAGGTCTTGTGCAGCAGATTTCCCCAATGTAATGCATCTCTTGATCTCTTGACTGCTGCTTCCATGAACACTGATTGTGTATCCAAGAAAGAGAAAATCCCTGAAAACGTCAATCGTTTCTCCATTTATCTTGATGTTACCTATTGGTACAGTTGTGAGGATTTTAGTCTGCCTTACACTGAGTTATTATCCATACTAAAGGTTGCAATCCTTGATCTCATCACCAAATGATTCAAGCCCTTCCTCACTTTGAGCAAACCAGGTTGAGTCATCTGCATAGCGTTAGTTGTTAATAAGCCTTCCTCCAATCCTGATGGCCCATTCTTCTTCATAGAATCCAGCTTCTCTGATGATTTGCTCAGCATTCCAATTGAATTAAGTTTGCTGAGAGGATACAACCCTGTTGCACACTTTTCCTGATTTTAAACTATATAGTATTCTTGTTCTGTTTGCATACTGCCTCTTGATCCATGTATAAGTTCCTCATAAGCACAATGAAGTGTTCTGGAATCCTCTTTCTTCTTAAGGCTATTCATAGTCTGTTATGATCCTCATAATCAACTGCCTTGGCTTAGCCAATATAACACAAAAAGCATCCTTCTGGTATTTTCTGCTTCCAGCCAAGATCCATCTGACTGACATCAGCAATGATATCCCTTTTTCCATGTCCTCTTTTGAATATGGTCTGAACCTCCGGCAGCTCTTTGTTAATGTACTCCTGTAACCACAGTTGGATGATTTTCGGTACAATTTTACTTGCATGTTGTACAAATGATACAGCTCAATAATTTGCACCTTCTGTTGGCTTGCCTTTATTTGGAATGGGTGCACATACGGATCTCTTCCTGCTGGTTGGACAAATAACTGTCTACCTGGCATAGAAGAGTAAGTACTTCCAGTGCTTCATCAACCTGCCGAAACCTTTCCATTGTTATTCCATCAATTCCTGGAGCCTTGTTTTTGGCTAATGCTTTCCCTGCAGCTTGGACTTCTTACTTCAGTACCATTGGTTCTTGCTCATATGCTAACTTCCGAAATGGTGAAATGACAACTGGTTCTTATTGGTTCATTGACTGTATATGCTTTTCATCTTTCTTGATGCTTCCTGCATCATTGTATATTTTGCCCATAGAATCTTTCAATATTGCTGGTCAAAATGAATCTTTTTTGAGCTTTTTTTCAGTTTCAGGTATGCTGAATGTGTCCTCCTATTTTGGGTTCTGA